CATATATCTATACCCTGTTAACGGCATGACAGATATCTGTACCCTGTTAACGGCATGACAGATATCTGTACCCTGTGTACGGCATGACACATATATTTACCCTGTGTACGGCATGGCAGATATATATATACCCTGTGTACGGCACGACAGATATCTGTACCTTGTGTACGGCATGACATATATCTGTACCCTGTTAACGGCATGACAGATATGTTTACCCTGTGTACGGCACGACAGATATTTTTACCCTGTGTACGGCATGACAGATATATGTACCTTGTGTACGGCACGACATATATCTTTACCCTGTGTACGACATGACAGATATATGTACCTTGTGTACGGCACGACAGATATATATATATACCCTGTGTACGGCACGATAGATATCTGTCCCTTGTGTACGGCACGACATATATCTTTACCCTGTGTACGGCATGACAGATATATATACCCTGTGTACGGCATGACAGATATATATATACCCTGTGTACGGCACGACAGATATATGTACCTTGTTGACGGCATGACATATATCTGTACCCTGTTAACGGCATGACAGATATCTGTACCCTGTGTACGGCACGACAGCTATCTGTCCCCTGTTTACGGCATGGCAGATATCTGTACCCTGTGTACGGCAGGACAGATATCTGTACCTTGTATACCGGATGGCATATATCTGTACCCTGTTTACGGCATGGCAGATTGCTGTACCCTTTGTACGGCAGGACAGATATATATACCCTGTGTACGGCACGACAGCTATCTGTACCCTGTTTACGGCATGGCAGATAGCTATACCCTTTGTACGGCAGGACAGATATATATACCCTGTGTACGGCACGACAGATATCTGTACCCTGTGTACGGCATGACAGATATATGTACCTACTCGATTTTACATTGCTGCAATCGGATGTCTCTGTACCACGTCTCATATTTGTTCAAGCATGGATTTTGTGTTTGAGTCGAATTTCTTGTTCCGGCTATAAAATAATAAGAAAATCTTATTTTTTCAACGAGTTGGGAAAACATTGAAGAGACGTAGAGCAGAAAACTGTTTTCAATGTTTTATTTGACTTTGTGATCGTTTGAAATGATTTAAGCGAGTGACAAGAAAGTTGGTTTGAGCACAGACTCCCTGCTTGAGCAACGAGAACGGTTTCATAAATATGGGCCCTGTCTGTTTAATCATGCACAGTGTCAGTGTGTGGGGAAAATAGTATCTCAACATGATGTCAGTGTATGGGAGAATGGTATCTCTCAACATGATGTCAGTGTATGGGGGGATGGTATCTCTCCACATGATGTCAGTGTATGGGAGGATGGTATATCTCAACATGATATCACTGTATGGGAGGGTGGATGGATGTGTATCTTTTGTTACGTACGGTATGGGGGAGGGTTGTTCATGTCACTTCTTAGACATGTAGATCTCTGTTATAGACTGTAATAGTATATAAATTAGATGCTAGGGACATGCAATAACTCTCCTCGCAGAACAGTTGCATTTGTCTGAAGGAACTTTTATAGTGATAATTTTATTTAGAACAAGTTGGTTCTCTAACATTTACGAGTGAATGTTAATAATCATGATAGCATTGTGTTTTTATGTCACACACATCAGTGTATATTACCATATACAGTACCCCCTCATTACCTACGTGGTGACAGAAAACTAAACATTCTTCATACCAGACTAAGACACGAATGCAGTCCTCTCAAACATGCATGATCTTTACCGTGCAAACTTGGTCCAAGACTCCAATTGTCATCATCAATTTTTATTTCCTCCAAAAAGGAGATATTTGTGTATAAGAAAAAAAGCAAAAATTACAAAAAGGACAGAAAATGCCGCGGTAGGGCGCAGCTAAAGAACTGTGTCCTCGCGAATGCGAGTAAAAGTCTTAGTCATGGTTTCTTAAATCATTCCATTCACTTGAGTTCGCGAAGCGCGCACGACAAAGTATGCTGCATGCATCAGAAACAGTTTTTGAGTTGTATTATCCTGAAATTGGGGACCTGTTTTTGCACCTAATAAATTGTGAACAATGGTAGCAGTGTCATGTTGATCAATGTAATTGAACACATTCAATCCAAACTTATGCAGGGTCATCTGAGGGAAATGAGCTCGGAGTTCGCTGGTGTACTCGCAGGTACAGCAATAGTGAGATACGACGTCACAGAAATGTTGGGAATACTTGGAGCAAACGTTCTGGTCAGGTGGCGAAGGCTTTGCCAATAATCTGCACAATGAGTAAATTTCTTCTATGTCTCTGTTAGATTTAGCCGCGCGCAACATAATGTACGGGTTGTAGGAGGAGTGACAGTTCCTAAATATATCAAAATCACGGTTGTTTCTTAGTCGATCTTTTAGGGTCAGGTTTTCTGTAGCCATTATGGAATTTCTCACTATTCCCTTCCACTGAAGCTTAGAGGGGAACGTGTAGTTACGAAGGTGTGCATCCAAGTAAGACGACGGGTTATATTTGTAGATTATCTGCACAATATCCGGAACAAACCCTCTTTCACGAACACTTCCAACATTTTCCTTTTGCAAATGAAGGAATGAATATAGTCTTCTTGTGAAGATCTGCTTAGTTAAGAGAGACTGCTCCATCAGAACAAGCTTTCCCAGAAATATTAGCTTCCTCTTATCAATAGCTGCAGAAATTCTAATCAAACCAAGTATAGGCTCAACAATATCTGACCTGGCACGACGATCAGCTCCAAGAATGACCTTAGCAGCGTAATGTTGAAAGCGACTAAGTTTCGCGAGGTCGGTATTACCGAGTTGAACCCAGTGCTCACATCCATATAGAATTGAAGATAGTATCACTTTCTTATAAAGACTGACTTTTACTAAAGGATTGATATCACATGCTGAGGGACAAAGCCCTATGATAGAATGTAGCGTCTTTCTCCCTTTGTCACACGCAGCCTGGATGCGTTCGGCGTTAGACATTTGTGAGCTTACACAAAACAGAAAACTAAACATTCTTCATACCAGACTAAGACAAGAATGCAGTCCTCTCAAACATGATCTTTACCGTGCAATTTTGGTCCAAGACTCCAATTGTATAAATTGTGGCTACCATTGCGAAAATGCCTATCACTTCTTCTTTGAATGTCAACCTTACACAGATGCTCGTACTGTACTTTTTGATCATATAAATAATTTAAATGTACGTTTAACGTTGAGATTATTACTGTTTGGAAATGAACATCTGGCTTTGGATACAAATTGTGATGTATTCAAACAAGTGCAAACTTGTATTAGATCCAGTGGAAGATTTTAACATGTTTCGATTATGAACTTGACTTTAAAATATGTTTTTGTTTTTGTTTGTTTGTATGTGTATGTGTTACTTCAAAAATCGCTTCATACTACTATGAATTGTAATTGACAGTCTATATCATCATCTGTTATTTTGAATAGTTGTTGTACGGAGATGGCTTCATAAGTTATAATAACTTGTGCCAAATCCTATTTTCCAATTCCGGTTAATAAAATATGTTTTAAGTTAAAAAACAGTGTTAAAAGACGTTCAAGGGCACATAACTCTTGACACACGTTTTTCATTAACACGTAACTATAATTGCTTACTCGATAATGACAGAAACAGATTAAAACAGACGTTTGAGAGACAGTTTGACATTGTAAACTAATCAACAGTTCTTCAACATAAAATTTGCCAATGGTATTTTGAAAAATGGTTATTTCAATGAACCTTGGCTTCGTTGTTAGACATGGATATATATTGAGGATAATGACAGCCTTTTTTCACATTACCATTTAAGGGAACTCTGACGTTCAAGGGGACAGAACTCTTGGCACGGGTTTTCCATTAAGAATGTTTTATTATTTCCTGAACATTTAACTATACTACTAACGCTCTTATGACAGTAACAGATTATCAGACGATAAAAAGACAGTTTGACTTTCTAAATTAATCAACAGGGTTTTTTTCAACATAAATTTTCCAATTGTATTTTGAAAATTGGAAATGTTAACCATCTTTTGCTTAGTTGTTAGAAATGGATATAGTTTGAGGATAATAACAGACTTGTTTCTCACAGTACATCAATTTACTATTTATCACATAATGTACTGTGTTATCCAGAGAATATATCCATGTCATATTTTTTGACGTATTAACCCATGTAATATGACCTATCAGCCCTGTGATTGGTGGTAAGTTTCAATTGTGACGTCACGCCTAGGATAAATCACGTCACAGACTTTACGCACCGAGTCAAAATGGCGGTTTTTTACATTTCAAGGTTGCAGGAAAATTGACGTTTTACACGAACAAATGCCAAAAATCTTGATTATGTGATAAAAAGGATCCTACACTTGTATCCATATCATATGAAATTTATGGAACTCGTCACGAATTTTTCATTTTAGCTCGCCAGAGGCTCACTGAATAAAGAATAAACTTAGACTCGTTTCATAAATCTCATATGAAATAAATTCATGTAAGATCCTATATTTCTGTCACTAGTAAAGGGAACTTTGCTATGAACAAGACCGTATATACGGTATACAGGGGAATGTTCGCCGCAGTTTAAGTTTCGACGTTTTCTCTCTCCCTAATGAGGGTGATTTTAACATAAAACATGTAATTAAAGGTGAAGGGCGAAATTAACACTTGGCAAACATAGATTTTGTCGGCAGGGGGCGAATGTTTTATTAGGCGACAGCTTCCCGGTATACAGTAGTACCCTCAACAAAAAAGGAAACAAGAAATTAGGGATAAACATTTTTATTTTTTTTTCATTAAATGAAAAACATTTTAAACTTTTGATACTGTTTTACATTTACATCAGTCCATTTATTGAAAATCAAATCAATATTTAAAACATGTTTCAAACAATGACAAAGGGTTATTTCCTTAATTCAAAGTAGCTTTGTATATAAATATTATTAAAAATAGATGATAAAATCACGAAATGCTTTCACTTTAAATGCATGATAACATTTTGTTAAGAGATATTCTGTTTATTTTAAAGATACTATTTAAAATATTCAAATAAATGAAACACTGAATATCGAATGACACTTTAAAAATCAAAGTTTTCATTAATTTCATGTAAAAATGAATTATTCTTGTGAAATATATCTCAACAGATTTTGTTTCTATTGAATAGTATGTGGATAACACATATGTCACTATTGGACTGCTGTAAGGAAACACATTGAAATGATAAAGTCCTAGTACATTTAACTTATATGAAAGGATTTTGTTATACAACCTAGATACACAATTAGATTTCGTTCACTTTGCTGGCTTACTAGACTGACCTCCGTCTTCAGAGTATTAAAATTTTCAGAACAATTAACTTTGATAACTTGGATTTCGGATTTTAAGTTTCTAACATTCATCATGCTCTAAGAAAATTGATGATTTCCTGGAAAATTATTGAACTATTGATACTATATATTTGTGATAGCTTCACTTAAACTAATGCGTTCGTGACTGACAGATGCTATTAAAATCATGCATGTGTTTAAGTTATGTATGATAATAATGAGTTGTTTCATGTATACAGTTAAAAGGCATTTTTTCTGAGAATTTTTTATTTACATGTACATGTACTTAATTTTCTGTTATTACTTTTTTACCCCTATACTTATCCTCCATATTCGTGATAATATAGGCATACGAACAACTAAGTGTCAAATGTTACAAGTACGACATAATAATAGTAACACGGGTACACATGAGTTGCCAACATAGTAAAATGTATACCTCCGTATTATTTAATGTTGTTTTGTCCTGAAATAAACCGCTTGAACGGAGCCGGTCGTCTTGCTCTGTCGATGGTAAGGTGTAGACTGCCCATTCAATCATTTCAATTTAGTTTTTGTTTGCATCTATTACCGACTTAGCATTACGCATATTTAAGGTCAAAGGTGACCACCAATGGTATTGTACAATTGCCAGTCGACCCCTACCATTGTGTAAATATATTACAAGGAAGGAAACTGGTATTTATAGTGTTCAACTTTTCACGAGTCACTCCATCCAAAATTTACGTAACAAAACACACTGTCACTCATCACTACAACCACTGATGGAAATGTTTCCCTACTCTCAATGACATGGTACTAGTGTTACACAGATCCTCTATTATGGCATTTATATGTATATGTTATCAAACGTGCAGGTGGAGATGTCTGGTACATAGCGCAGAGTTCTTCTTACAATATTTGACTCGAGCTTGTTTCACAAAATCATGTTGACTATACATAACACATGGCAAGACATGATAAGTTAGTGGAATGTTCGTAGGATAACGTAAATACAAACCCTACAACTTTAACATGCATAGTATGTGGCTTTCCATGCGGGTGAAGTTTTCTTGTATGGAATTTGGTCTTGAAATGATTAACATAGTCCGTCCAAACTCGACCAGTTCCTTTATCCTATATATCACCGGTCTATACTTTATCCTATATATCACTGGTCTATACTTTATCCTATATATCACCGGTCTATACTTTGTCCTATATATCACCGGTCTATACTTTATCCTACATATCACCGGTCTATACTTTATCGTATATATCACCAGTCTATACTTTATCCTATATATCACCGGTCTATACTTTATCCTATATATCACCGGTCTATACATTCTCGGGATTCCCTACCATTCAGACGAGCTGGAACAAGTGTACAAAGTTCCTTTGGTCTTCTACTTCGTTTGTGATCACTATCCTATCCTCCCACACAGCAATCGCTCTCGGTCGTTTGATTCCATCTGATGACGTCAGCAGTTCCCTGATGTTTCTTCCATTCCCAGAAATCTGAATGACATTCTGTGAACTAGCTCCACAGACATACACATTGCCCTCCCTGTCCACATCTATTCCTGTTGTACCTTTCATGACCCCGACCTTCAATATGTCTGCTTTGGTATCGTCCGACAGTCGGGTCACGGCCACCTCGTCTGGGGTAGAGGTACAAATACTAGCAAAGACGTGTCCAGTCTTCTGATTGCTTGCGAGATGCAAACATTTTGATCCAATTGTGAGAAGTTTTTTAGGTTCACCTCCGGTTGCTGGGACACTATAGATTGATTTAGCTGTACCGACAGTGAAATGGTTGTTGTGGTATGCCACTCCAAGACAGTTTTTATCAAGCTTTGGCATCTGGATTTTCGATGAAACGGTCAAGGTAGAATCCCCGACATTAACAATACATATTGTTTTGACGGTCATCAGTATCACTGTCACAGTGTTGTCATCAATACGACAAAGATCACAGGATGCATCCGTAAGTTCCAACTCAAATTTTAAATCACCTTTCTCTGTAAATAGTTTCATCTTTCTATTTCCTTGATCTCCGACAACAATACGACCACCAGGAAGGAAGACAACTCCAAACGCCTTACAGTCGTTTTTGTCTGAAGCATCTTTGATAGTGAACTTCCCCGTCATCTTCAAATGACGTTCCGACAACGGTACCATGCTACTATACACAGTAGATGGCAGTCTCCTCGGTTGTTGATTAACAACTATCTTTCCCATTGTAAGGCAGGTGTTGGTTTCGACAGCGAGAATATCCGGGTCATATTCATGTTTGATACTTGTGGACGAAGACGACCTCTCCAACTCCTGTATGAGTTCCTTACAGGACTCGACCTCCGCCTGTCCTCTCTGGAATAGACAAATTGTCCCCACGGTGTCGTCCTTCAAGGCTGCATCTTCTGATGACTTGAGCGTGTTCTGTATAGAGAACATCAGCCGTTCACATTTCTGTATGGAAATTTCGAGACTTTCTTTTTCTTCCTTAAAGGATTGTACAATGTTTTCTGAAAGATCTTTCTGTAGTACATCAAACCGCTCGTCGATCTTTTTGCGTATGTCGGTCAAACTTTGCAGAGCAGTGTCCTGATCCATTGTCATGGACTGAAGTTGTTCACCAACATCTTTGATCAGTATCTCCATGACATCTGCACTTTTCCGAAGTTCCTCCAGCAGATCGTCGATTTTAGAGCCTTTCCTCAACTTGACCCGGTAATCGTCTGCTGACGTCACCAATTCACACTTTCGATGATCCAAGATGATGCATTTGCTACATCCCAGAATTTGATGATCTTCACAGTAATATTCCATCTTTTCCTCGTGTTTTCCACATCCATTGACTGAGGCCTTCTGATGTAGTATAACCGATATGTTTACTTCAGAGATGTCTTGACATTCACATTCTTCATGAAGCAAATCATGAATGTTGATTTTGCAGGTTGAACAGAAGTAAGTGTTGATCAGCTTACACCAGAACCTGGCTTGGTTATTCAAGTTTCCTTTCTTTTCACATGGTTTGCACGTGATCGAGTTATCTGTCTTTTGTAATTGCTGGATTATTTCGACCGCCAGATTGTTGGTGGGGAATTGTTCGGCCCAACTCTCTTT